GGCACGCATCACTTATGGTAGCATTAGCGCATATATAATTGTTTGGACTCATTATAGTGGATCCGACAAAGTTTTACGCTGGTTGTCTACTACTACAATTTCTTCTTTCTCTCGACTTTATTGGCCTATTATGTTACTGAATTCTTGTTTTGGCTTGGTGTGCTGGTGCATTGTTGAGATTTATTTACTGGTTTGCTCTAGGCATTTGTTCTTGTGACTGGCTTGAGCTGCTAGTTTGGAGGTGTAGAAATCTGGTTTGGGCTACTATGGTTTACCTTAATTTTGATATAGTTCTTGAATTGGACTGTGAGATTCAGGCTTTGGAGTTGGGTTCATTCAATCCACACACATTTGATTTAGATGACTTTATTGTTATTATTTGACCCTTTGGATTTGGGTCATTTTTTGTTGAAGTAATGGCTAGTGGCAGCTCAGACTCATTATTTGACCCTTTTTTTTTGTTGGAGTAATGGCTAGTGGCAACTCTTTTCAAGCCATCAATGTGAAATCAATTGGTGATAATTATGTTTATTGGGCATATGTTTTGAAAAAATTTCTGTTGGGTAAACTTATGTGGAGTTACATCAATGGTGTTGTGCAAGCTCCAATGGATACCAAGGCAAAAAAAGTATGCAGATTTGAAATGCAATTGGGATATCAACAATGCTAAAAGCCAAAAATCATTGCCACGATTAATAATTCAGTTGATACCATATGGCAGAATTCACCATAGCTAAGGAAATTTGGGACTATCAGACCCAGTTGTTTATTCAATCCAACTTTACAAAGAGATATCAACTTGAGCATGAAATTCGAACTGCATGTCAAGGCGATAGGAACATACAAGAGTTTTACTCAGTTATGACCGGATATTAAGATCAGATAGCAAGGCAGAACCCATCGAATTGAGTACTAACAAGAAGTACCACAATTTTAGAGAGACGCAGTAGTTGGTGCAACTTTTTATGGCACATATAGATGATTTTGAGGGATGTTGTAGGTCTACTCTCCATTATCACCCACTTCCCTTTGTTCCTATAGTGATTAATGAGCTCTTGACTCAAGAGGTTCATCATAAGATCCTTTCTAGAAAGGGTCTTCTTCCCTTACCTAATCAGACTGTATTGATCATTCCTACCAAGGTGACTTCTAACTCACAAAAAAAATACCAAGTTCGAGTTGCTTCAGATGAGTGCAACTTCTGTAATGAGAAGGGCCACTAAAAGGCCCAATGTCCTAAATTAGTTAATAAGAATACAAAGGGGTCATTAAATCAGTCATTTAAGCCCATAGACCGTCATACAACAACAGTTGCACCATTATTGGATGAGTCATACTCATCAGCTCGCAATCTGAGTATGATTGTTGATTAGTTGCGAAAACTCCTCTCGCTCCATCAGCTTGAGCACCCTCTCTGTCAGTAGGTTTGTTTACTTTAATTATTTCAGGTATATCTCGCACCGCCTAAGTTTTTAACTCAGGTATCACACATTACATAACTAGTGATTCTTTCTTATTTGCACGTATTGCCTCTACTCCATCTGTATATGTGGTTGCTGCCAATGGCACTCAAATGCCTTTGGCGGGTGTTGGGACAATTATTTCGCCCCAACTCATACTTCCGGATGTATATTACATCCCTCAACTCACCTTGAATTTAATCTCCGTTAGTTAATTATTTGACTCTAGGTTTTTAGTACATATATCTTTTTCTGGTTGTGTTGTGCAGGATTCACAGTCTAAGAAGCTGATTAGGAAAGGTCGTATAAAGGGAGGATTGTATGTGTTATTGGAGCTCTAGGTTCTAGATATTGTTGCTTCTATTATTGATTTGTATATTTTTCTTTTGAATCCACAGTCCTCTAGATGTTAATTGTGACATCTCGCCTTGATCATATTTCTCATTCTCATTTGAAGATGTTAGCCTCTACCAGTAGTTTGGGTATATTAAGAATGTCATGTCATTTCTTTAGTGGATGCAAGTTAGCTAAATTTAATGCATTGCCATTCAATAAAAGTTCTACTAATTATCTTGCACCATTTGACCTTGTTTATTCTGATATATGGAAACTTGCTCCTATTCCTACACAATAAGGGTCCAAGATATTATTTATTTTTTATTGATGATTATACCAAGTACTATACTACGTTTATTTGATCAAAAGTCAATCTAAATTCTTTTTTATACGCACAGCCTGTTGAGCCATGGTATACACTCAATATTACTTTGTTATAAAATGTTTTCCATATGACCACAAAAGTGAATACACACTTCTTTTTGTGATATATTAAAATTCGATGGTACTCTTTATCAATCCTCTTGTACTAATAGCCCTGAGCGGAATAGTGTTCCCGAGTGCAAACACCGTTACATTATGGAGACAGCACGCTCTCTTTTACCATCAGCAAATGTCCCCGGCTCCATTCAGGGGAAGTCGTTCTTACAATAGTTCATTTGATCAACTACATTCCTACTATTCTCACCACTGGTATATCCCCATTTGAAAAATTGTGTGGTAAGCAGTAAGCCACCTAATTACTTCTCTTTACGTGCATTTGGTTATCCTTGTTTTGTCTTGCTCCCTAATTTCCTTCATACCGAGTCATCTGCTTGATCAGCTTTATGTGTTTTTCTTAGTTATGGTGAAAGACAGAAAACATATTGTTGCTATGGTCCTATTTCTCTCAAACTGTATGGCTCTCGTCATGTTGTCTTTGCGCAATATATCGCTTTCTTTTCAATTCCATCTAGTTTTTTATCTCTGAATAAATCGAATCTTACATTAATCCCTTTCCACCTGATGCTCCCCATGAAACATATATTTGTGATATAATTGTATCTGATTTGTCATCCTCTTCTTCTTTTACTGATTTATCAGATGATCGTCCCCCTATTGTGCAGACTTATATTCACAAGGCTCATGTTGTCTCTTCTATGGACGTGGTGCATCCTCCTGTCACTCAATCAGGTTTTCAAATTGTGAATCATGTCCCTCGTTATCCCTTACGATCTTGGAAGTATCCAGATAGGTTTGGTTTCTCCAACTCTTGCTATTCTTTTAATTTTTGTTCCTTTCTTACTTATTTTCACTCTCCGTCTTACTTGGAGGCTTTACTTGATCCTCTTTAGCAACTTGTTATACATGAGGAGTTATCTGTCATACATATGACCTTAGCCTTGGAGTTAATGTATTTACCCCTGTCAAACACAACATTAGTTGTAAGTGAGTTTATAAGATCAAAACAAAATCTAATAGTTCTGTGGAAAGAAACAAAGCACAACCAGTAGCCAAGGGTTTTGTGAAAGAGTATGGTCTAAACTATGATGAGACTTTTGCTCCTATTGCCAAAATAACCGCTATTTGTACTATGATTCCTATAGTTGTCATTCGTCAATGGAGCTTGTCTTAGACGGATATGAAAAATGCTTTCTTTCATAAAGATTTATCTGAAAAAGTCTTTGTAACTCCTACTCATAGATTGTCTCATATTTTCAGTCAAGTATGCAGACTTCACAAAGCTATATATGGCCTTAAACAAACTCCCAAGCATGGTTTACCAAATTTTCCTTTGTTATCTATGACTTGGGTTTTTGTGCCAATGATTATGAGCATGTTCTCTTGTTTGTGATCCAACTTCTATAGTTCTATTATTCTCTTACTTTACGTTGCTGATATGATTACTATAGATGATGACGCTGCGGAAATACAACTATTGAAAAATCAATTGCATGATCTTTTTGAGATGAAAGAGTTGGGTCCACTTCGGTATTTCTTGGGAATTGAGATTGCTCCCTTCTCTCAATCCAAGTACAAATCAGATGTAATTCAACGAACTCGTTTATTAGATCATCGAACAGTTGAGACCCCCTTAGAACTCAATGTTCATTAGTCTTCCTCTAATGGTGCCCTCTTGCCTAATCCTCCTCTTTACCGCACTATTGTTGGGAGTCTGATATATCTTACAAACTCGCCCAAATATCACTTATGTTATTCATAGTATTAAACAGTTTGTTGTCTCACCTAAAACTGTCCACTGGATTGCAGTTCTCCGTATTCTTCGGTACCTTTGAAGTACTCTGCATCAAAGTCTCTTATTTTCTTTCTCCTCTTTTATGGAACACAAGACTTACATAGATGTTGATTGGGCTAATGACTCTATGGATGACAAGTCTACTACTAGTTTCTGTCTATTTCTTGATGATTCTCCTATTTCAAAGAAAAGCAAGAAGTGAACTACTGTTACTCATTCTTCAGTTGAAGCTAATTCGTGTTATGGCATCTAAAACAGCTAAGATAATTTGATTACGATGGCTGATAACTAAACCTGGCATCCCTTTATCCGTTCCTACCCTTATGCATTATGATAAAACCAGTGCTAGTCAGATTGCTCACAATTCAATCTTCCATGAGCATACAAAGTATATTAAGATTGTCTGCCACTTTGTGTGTCATCATCTTGAGTGGATCACCATCTGTTTCCCCTTCCTTCTACAATACAATTAGCGAATTTCTTTACGAAAGCACGTTTTTGTTTTCTTCTTGATATTTTCTACTACCACATCATGAGTTTGAAAATGGGTGTTAGAGTATTCTAGCATATTGGCCTGAAAGCCAGTTTAGTCATTTACTTTATGTTATATTGCCCTACTATATAAGGGTCTTTGTTGTGTATGTTGGGTTATGTTTTTGTTGTTGCATAGACCAAGTGTGCGGTAATAATATTTTATTTTTCTCTTCTCTCTTCTTTGTTCTTTCGTTGATCAATGATTACATGTCACTTCTTTTCTCTCCTTAAAGATCACTCTTAATGGCAGGTTCTTTGAAATAAATTAACATGCATGTTTTACACAGTTTAAATTAACTGAATTGAAGCTTTTTTCAGATTTAGCTTCAGCAAAATGAAGAACCAATAATGGAGTCAATCTAAGAGAAATGATCTTCCTCCAACGCACACAAAAGGTAACAGAGAGTAATGCCATAGAGAGACAGATTGCATACTCTGAGCTCATTGTAACAACAGCATGTCCTGCAGCTGCAACCTTGTCCAAAAACAATTCCTGTTTGCAACCAATTTAAGAAAATCAAACTCATGTATAGGAAAAGCAGTTGCTTTTTTACTATAGTCCTGTTTCTATTTCAAAAGGGAAGTATGGCTGTTTACTTGTCCAGTTGGATGATGCATTATATCATATATAAAGGTTAATTTGGTCCAAAGGGCCTTGCATATAGTTGAGGACATAAGGTTCATTGCTTAAATATGAAAGCTAAAAAATGTAACGATTCCAACTCCCACACGTATTCTAGTCCAGAAAAAGTAACTATAATAGTCCAATTGAATTGTCATAGTCCTACATCTTAATTCTATCCAACCTAGTCTACTATCAAACAGATACATATTATACAAAAGAATAACACCACAAAAAATATTAAGTTACCTCATCAAGGTCCAAACCAGAAGTGTCACCGTCGCCAAATCTCTCTAAAAACAAATCACCAACAGAAATGAGAAGGTTTTAGGTATATCATATAATAGATGGCAAATATCACAGCATCAAGCTATGTCATGCAAACCCACACTAACCATCCAGTCCAAACTGTGATGTGGAGTAAACCACACCCTCCATGGTATCTTGGAGAGTAATTTGCTCCCTTGAACTGACGTGATGATCAACAAAGTTACTGCAAAATTTGCAATCAGTATGCAAACATTAGACCAGGTCGGGAAAAAAATGTCAATGCTTAGCAGATGGAATAAGATTTACATGTAATGAGCATTCCAGGAAAATTAGGCAACCAAACGAAGACTAATCCAGAACCACATTTGGAGGAAACACCTAACATCGACTCATTTTTATCAACCTAAGAAGCACGGATACGAAAACGAGACACGGATACGATCATGAGACAGACATACTGACACGACATTTCTCAAAAAATTGGGCACAGACACGTTATAGATAATTGTGTTTTATATATAAAATTATTTAATTTATCACAAATATAATGATAATGATATATTATTCATAAGAAAATCAATACTTTATGATAAGTAAATGTTATGTCCAATTGTATGAATTTTTAGACTAACATCATAATAGTCAATAATCATCAATCTTTTTCCGTAAGCGTACCAAACATATATAATTTAAATGATAATTCTCATTTTCTCAATTGCTTTTATCTAAATTTTTTATGTATTTTTATGTATCTTTTGCTTTGGTTGTTATATTTTGAGTACAACTTTAACATGTGTAGTGGTCTCTCATAATATAAGATACTTATTAGTCAAATTTTTAAACTTTGTTAACCACATGTCAACATATGTTTCTTGTTTAGTAGTATATAATCTAAAGAAGTGTCGGACAAATCACTAAATGTCGGACACGAGATTGTCCGAGGAGTGTCGGTGTCCGTACTTCATAGTTATCAACTTGATTCCATAAGAGTGACCTTTCAATCTCCATCTTTCCAAATAGTCAAGATGTCTGACAATATGGAGGTTTCAATAGTCAAGGCAGAAATAAGTATCCCATAAAGAATCAAAATCTAAAGGAGATACAATAGCGTGCCTATTGCAGCATCACATGATCGGAAGCAACATCATTTGTAACATTATTGACGTAACATGTTATGTATAAGCATAAACAAGAAATTTCAAAACCAACCCATGAAAAATGTCATTATCTGGCAGCTCAAAATCATCGAGATCAAAAGTCTCCGGCAAGGTGATGGAATGATATGGTGCAGTCGATTCTTCAGGAGGCAAATCCACAGCTGTGGAGCGAAACGCCTGTTTCACCTTGAGCAAAGCCTCACTGCAATCATCAAAAAGGTAATTCACCTTCCTAGAATATATCCTCACCACACCCAGCAGAAGATGGCTAGACAACCGGAGTGCAATTGGTACATCAGGAAAAAGAATTGAGTCTGCTAAAGATAAGCAGCACAAGTTAGATGTGGCAACTAGAGAAGTTGCCTTAGAAACAAAATGGATAACAAAGGAAGCAAAAATGACGTCTAAAATGAAGCTGTAGACACAATATTTCATTATTACTGAACTCTACATCCTTTATAAACCAGAATATAAAAACAGACAAAACATCTGCTTGCTTTTCTTCCTTTTCTTTTCCCTGTCATAAATAAATACTGCAGCTCGCTTCATGTATTAAAAAAAAATATAAAAGTGACTTAGTCACTCAAATATTCAAGGGACGCGGTCAACAGCAACAGGAAAGTGACTTATAAACTTAAAGCATGATAAATGAATTTCCTCCACATGGTAAAGCTAAATAACAAAGAATAGAGTGACATTTAGCAGAAAACCACAAGAAACATTTTAGCTAGAAACTTAGACCGATCCAAGTTCTCGGTCCAAGTTACCCATGTATTGGGTTATGCTTATTTACTTTATGTTCTTCATTTCAAATTTTCAACTTCTTTTTGAAAGTTAAAGGTGTTATTAGCGTCATATTATTAATGCTCAAATTTTTTTTGGGGTGCAAATATATGTGAAAGGATTCAATAATCTTACAAGTTCTGCTTTAGGGACGAAGTATATTGAGTTACCCATGTATCGAGTTATGCTTATTTCTTTCTGTTCTTCATTTCAAATTTTCAACTTCTTTTTGAAATTTGAAGGGTGTTATTCGCATCATATTATTGTCACTCAATTTTTTTTGGTGCGCAAATGTATGTGAAAGGATTCAATAATCTTACAAGTTCTGCTTTAGGAACGAAGTCTATTGTTGGATTGTAATCCAGGACAATAGTGATCGGAATAAACTAATCAAGAGTTGATTTTGTCAAAGGTGTTTCCTTGTTAACGTGTGTGAGAGTCACCACAGATTCTGAATGCAAATCCCAAACAAAATGTCGGAGTTGGTACAGTAAAGTCAATGGATTTTCTATCTAGGCAAGAGTGAAAGCATAAATAGCTTTCAAATGTAGGTCCCAAACAAGACCGTGTGAAGTAGGTGTAGCATTATAATTCTTTTCCACACTCAATCTAAACAACCCTTATGCAGTCTCTCCCTCTCTCCCCCCTCTCCCCTCTCTGCCCCTACCTCCCTCTGGTCTTAAGGCACAATTCTAGACGATGGTAGAACCTAAGTTTTCTAACACTTTCTTCACAAAAGCTAAAACCAAGTTTAAAATCGATTCTTTTACAAACCTTCAATGAAACCCTAGTTCCTTAATTCTAATTGCCTCATCCACCATTTAACCTCATAAATCAACCCCACAAAATGAGAGATTTGATCTCACTACAAATATGTACTTTTTCTTCCGCATTGACAGATTCAAAACATGTACACCTTAGTTTGAACAGTTTTTTTGTTGTGGTAATTACTGAGCATGTGGAATGGGGAGCTACATGTGCAGAGGGGAGGAGGTGGGTCCCCCAGAACACTCAAGTACCTCCCTATTTGCAAAAAGGGGAAAAACAATTGCCTAAGTGTGCTTGTAAGCACTTTTTATATGCAAACATTAAAGAAATACCAATCAAGAGATGAACTAGGAGTAGCATGAATTATGAATTTGTTGGATAACAGATGAACCCTCTCCTTGTCATTCTAACCCTTGATGCACATATTTTTTAAGTCCACAACCAAAAGTTTGTACTAGTGACATTGTTCCCAATCTACTCCTCCCAAACCACAACTAATAAAAGACTAAACTAGGTGCTAATTAGTGAATTTTACACATATTCATGCCATGGACCAAAACCATAAATTAAGTTACACTTAAAGGGCCGAGTCTGAAATTTTTTTCCTTATGTAAAGGAGACATTCTTATATCCCATTTTAGGAAAGTTAAATGCTTTTACCTCACATACCATCCACATTCAAAGAACACAAAATGAATACCTTACTCGACTAACAAGAAAAGGCCTGAGAGCACTAAGAGGAAAGCATCCACTATTGTATATATGTTGCCATGAATGTTATGCGAAAAAAGTATATAATTATCTAGAACAGTAGTTATTTTGGAATTATGTAAATGGTAACGTTTTCTTCTCAGAAAGGCTTGCCAAACTTCATTCATATTTATTGTGTATAATTAATTGCATTGTAGCTATAGATTATTTTCGACTGCCAAATGTGTTACACAAAGCAGTTGTCAGAGTAACCGGGAATTCATAAACTAAATTATGTTTTCTACTATTTAAAGTGAATATGATATAATCTTGATACGGTGTAATAGAGCTTCAATGGCAAGAACAAAGTGGTGGTGAATGGCAGTAGCAGAGCAAGGCAGGTCAGATTAGTGACAATGTGATTTTTTGGTGTTGGAAATGGAAAGTATGGTGACATTGGATGGCCACATGATGGATATAGCACTCGTATTGGATCATGTTTTACTAAAGCTATGATGGATATAGCACTCATATTAGATCATGTTTTACTAAAGTTAGTTAGTAATCTAAGTGCAGCCATTTTGTGTAATAATGGCAAAAATTTAGGTCTCTACCAAGTCTCTACCTCCTAGGCCCTCATTAATGTGGATTAAAATGGTCGTTCTTTAGTTAAAGTTCATTACAAGGTGAAACTTTATTCAAATATCAATTCAATAATTATTCATTAAGCAACAAATGTTAAATCCGTGAAATTGGGATATGAGCTATTAACGAAAGGAATATAGAACCTGCATTTGGGAAAAGGTAAGAAGAAAGAATATCATTTTGGAGTCTAAGGGTGTGTTTGGAGATTAGGAAGATGTTTCAGGAACTTCTTTCCGATTGTCCTTACTCTTCAACTCCTTTTATAAGATGCAATTTAGGCCAAATAATACTCTTCTTTTAAGGAAGATGAGATTCCACTCATAGAAGAGGACCAAGAGTCTCCAGGTGACTAACTGCGACCAAACAAAAATAAAACTCTTTTAAGAAAGATGGGAATTTGCTAATATTATCATGCTTCTCTCTCTTCACCTACCAAAAGAACCAAAAAATATCGCAGTATATTTTGAAATCTTATCTGCAAAAGCATGTCACTAAATTTCCAGATGTAATGTGCAAGAGAACTTCTACATGTTGGGGTATTAATTTTCAAATTTCACTCACCAAAAGAATTAGAGAAGCCATTAGAAAAGGCAATATTTACCGCAAAGCTATTACCCTATTAAATGGATGGTTTGAAAAGCATTAATAAACGAAACCGCGAGTCACACAACAAAAGCACAGACCTACAGAGACGCCAATATCAGTATCCGCAACCTGATTCTTTCGAAGCTTACGCTCCAAATGTGCCGCAATCCATATAGTCCCAAGGGGACCCTTCTTCGCCAATATAAACTGAGAATAAAACATCTCCCACTCCCAATTTCTCTTCCTGGGCCAACCAGTGAACCCAACTACTCATACAGCTTAATTCCCCAAATACTCTGAAAAGCCAGACTTCCCTGCTTCCACTACAAACTAAAAATGCCAAATTTCTCAAATGAATCCCAAACCCTAGAATTCTTCCAATTCCACAAGTCTGCCATTCAAAAACCCCCAAAAACTTCACAATTCCAACATATACCTAATTCAAGCACACTTCAAAACCGGTACTGCTAACAAACACCAAAAAACTCCCAAGTTGTCTTCTGCTTAAATTGATCATATCACCTTTCTTCTTCACATCAAACACCTTCAAAACCAGAATAATTCAGAAACCTCTTGCTTGCTGGAATTGAAAAAATTGCAAATTGGGCATAAGCTTGCTCAAGTCGAGTTGCAAGAACAAAGGGCGTTGACGAACCCTAAATTTGCTCCGAAATTCAATAGCATTACCAACACAACTCAGGGTACCAATTCCAAACGGTTGATGCAGCAATATATAGGCGTTCGTGCTTGGAGAGAGAGAAAAGTGCGACAGAATCTAGCTACGGAATTTAATTGAAGATTGTATGCGAAGGTCTTCTTTTTTTCAAGTTCAGATCAGAAGGAGCGCCTTCGTTTTCGAACATTTAAGATTTTCCTACAGGGAAATGGGCAGTGTGCTCCACAAGTGTACGTGATTTGCTTAGACTATTATCGTTGGATCGACTACCAACGGTCTGGATTTCATGTTTGTTGTCTCGCTAGCGGGGTTAGTAACTTCTTCAATATTCGATGATTGCATAATTTGATTGAACTGCCCATTCGGCATTCGCCATGTACACCACGTGCCTCTTACCAGTCAGAAGAAGTATACTATGTTACTATGTAGTGTGAACAAAAAGTACCTATTCAACATCTGTTTATTTTGACAAAAAAAAAAAAACCAACTGTTTATCATATCAAAATAAAAACAAATGGAAAATTACATTGACACACTTTATTGTTTATGACACTTTCACTGCACCGCTGTTATTTATAAAATTACACAACCATCCTTATATTATTGCATATTTTGCAAGGGTAGAGCCAGAAATGTGCGGTAGGAGGGATAAAAATTTTAGCAACAACAATATTACATTTACTAAATCTGAAAAGTTAATGCATTACTACCGTTGGATAAACAAATAAAGTATATTTAATGTTGAGACCATGTGTTAATTCAATGATGACAGTACATGTAATGACATGGTTTTTGGAGAAAGAAAATTAGGACAAGAACCAATATAAGAGTAATTAAGGGTTTGGATAGCCGGACTAAGAATCGACAGCTCCAAAGTGTGTGTCTGGATGTTTTAGAGATGTATAAAAGTGTTAGAATAAGTTAGAAGTGTAACTGGAGAAGAAAGAGCCAAAATACAAATTTGGACGAAATAGGGTTAGCACGTAAAAGAAAGTTAGGGGGTACGGAAGTGAGGTTTGAGCATGAAATTGGAGTTAGAACTCTAAAAATTAAATTAATAAATTTCTAGGACTTGTTTTAATAAGTATATAATTACAAAAAAGTAAAAAATACATATATTTAAAATCAATTTTTGGATTTGGTAAAATTATCAAATTGCCATTACAAAATCAGCTCTTGGTGAGTTGCTTACTAGTCGTTATTGGAGCTCCTTGTATGCATGGCTTCCACCCAGTTGCTTGGGGGGAAGTCATGAGTTGTTGATTGAGGGAGAAAAGATAAAATAGGGATAGACAGTGAAATGGAGGAGAGAAAAGTTAGAGAGACAAAATACATTCAAAAATTTGGGTTTTTTTGTGGAAGAAGTTTCAAACGGCCAAATGTATACTAATAGGTTGATTTTGATGTTTGAAAATTAATGATATTGTTAAAATTGTGTTTTATGTACCATACTTGCATGAATTTGAGTTTGAAACATTCGAGTGTTAAGGTTTGTGGATTGGGGTTATTTTGAGCTATTTGGTGGTTTGGGTTGCGTTTGTGGGAGTTCAAGGAGGCATTTGGTGGTTATGGTGGCCGGAGGTGCTCTAAAGGTGTTGGAAAAGTTTCGGTTGGGTAGGTTTTTGATCTCTTTGTTTGGGGTTTAAGCTTTGAAAGGGAGTTTGTTCCTAGCCAATTTGGACCTTAGGAATCTATTGGTGGCCTCAAAAAGTGAGTTTGGAAGTTGTTTGGGGGATGAAAAGGGGAGCTGCAAGTCTGCCTTATTATGAAAATCAACTTTGGAGGTAACTTGACCACTAATTCGTAGATTTTGAGCGTGATTCGAAGGGAGTTATTGGCATGATTCAAAACGTGCAGGAGAGCAATTTAGGCTCTTGAATCTCTGAAAAATCTTGAGAAACGATGGATTTATGGGCATCTAAAGTTGGCTCGTTGGCTGAAAATCAAGTTGGAATCAACCTGTTTTTATGACTTTGGAGCCTACTTTGACTCAATTTCGGGAACACAACTGGAAGGGATTTTGATGCAAACCAACACTTGGATTTCAAAATAGATATGAATTAGTGTAGTTTAAACTTTTGAACCATGTAAAAATGTGAAGAAATGATGGAGAAAATGATGATCAACGTTTACCTAAAATATGAAAAAATCAAACTTGGTTAAAGGCTCAAACTTGAAGATGAAGTGACGGGAAGACCATTATCCACCCCAATGGAAAGTGTGGGCGTGTTCAAGGTCCAAATGACCTATAGTTGGTGCTAAAAGTTTTGTATAGTCCATTCGCAGGTCCCAGTAAAATTTGAGGTTAATACGATATTCGGATCAATATGTGGCGTAAAATATTCGTTTTGCCCTCTAGGAAAAATTTGACCCATTTTTTGGGTTATTTTTGACAAATAAATTTTATATTCATTCTTAATTAGTCAAATTGAGCATATGTATAAAATTTCATCAAAAAATAACATCATTTCATTTTTTGCTATTTTAAATCAAAATATTGAGACTAATAGGGTTTCTCAATTCTGGACTCGGCGATATTTTTCGAACTTGTTTTTATATTATTTCATATGTTATTTATGATTGTTTAACATATTTTAAAATATATGATTGATTTTTTTGATAATGGCTTAAAATTTGGACCTAGGGTTTTTTTAGTGCGATTCACACAAATGGCCATAATAATTATATTGCTCATATTGTTCATTTGAATTTGAAACTTCAGGATCCTTTTGAATTAAATGTAATTATGCATAGATCGAGTGACAAAAGGTTTACATTGCAGGTTAAGGCCGTAGAGGTTCTCTCACTGAATTCGTAAATGCCTAAATGACCTAGTTGATCTTCGTACATGGGAGCTAAACTTTGACTAGGGAGTATATCTTCTTCAGGGTGCAAGTTCCCCAAAAGGTTAAATTGTATGTTTGTATTGATCTTGAGTGATCTATTAGGATAATTATTTTCCAATGTAGCACTGTACGTAATGTTTCTAAACTCTCTTTTAATGTTCAGTTTGTGCTTAAATGATTTTGTTTTACATGAAATGATGTTGTTTCCTTTATATACATATCAAATGCTCATTTTTCTTTTGTCCAATCATGCTAAACTATGTATTTTCAAACTTGTTTAATTAGAAATTGAGTTACTCTACTAAGCTATTGATACTCACCCTACAATATTTTTCCTTTTCCAAATTAACAGGTAATGGGGAAGTTCGTGAAAATTTGAATTACTAGTTTTCAGGGTTTTTATTCTAAGTATTGAATAATATTTGTTGAGATGTGTAAATTGTGGTGAGCACATGTATGAAATGTAACAACTCTATGATTGAGTCGTATCATAGTCATGTATAATATGTTATTTTGTTGAGTTTAATAGCAAACACTTGTTATATTTATGAAATTGGTATCAGAGTTTACTCATTATTTGGAGACTATATCGTTTACTACCTATGAAAGCTGTTAGTGCTCTAAGTACTTTTATGAAAAAGGGATAGGGTGTTATAGTACATTAAATTATCAAATAAAGCCTTCCAATTATATGTTAGTAACATTTTTTTAACAAAAGTAAACTTTAAAATTTTGAAGTAAAAATAAATTAAAGAAGTGGTCCAACATGTGGCTTCTACTACTGGCCTGGGATCAAATGTATATAACCTTATCCCGCTCGCGTGTGAGAGAATATATATTGCATTGAATCCTTGCATTTAGGTCATAATGGAGCAACATTACCTTTACCATTATTATTGACTATTTTTTATATTTAGAAATATTGCATAATAATATTATCATCCAATGTATCAAATTTAACAAAAGTGAGAGAAATGAGGCAAGATATACAAAAGGGAATGAAAAGCTTCAAATTTTCTTGAACACAAGTTTGAGAGATTTAATTAAATAAACAATAATTAAGTTCACTTAATTGAGTAAGGGAATTTAATCTTAATGTTAGAAATCTTTTAGTAAATTAAAATGTATGAGATTTTTTTTTCTGTGGGGGCAAATTTAGGATATATTAAAATTTATATAACAAATGTTTAGGCAAAAAAATTGAGTAGTGGCAACTGCCCCTACAAAGCGATGTGTAGCTCAGCCCCTTCTTCTCTTGCTCTAAAATAACATCCAATATGAGAAATCATATACTATAAATATATATATATATATATATATAACACTTATAACTTATAAATCTACATATACATCAATAACAAATTTAAGTTATCATAAAAATATGACTCTGATACCAAATAAAAAAGGACTAATTCATACTCAATATTTTGAAAAAATTACTCAAACTCTGAATACAACTACTAGTTCTAAAAAGAACATCTGATGAGAGGGAGAACCTGTAAAGCCCCAAAATCCATCATAGCAGACAACGCTATCTACAAACCATCCAATCACGAGAGGAACTAAAAATAACCATTAAAACAACCAATCATTCATTCATCTGATAAAGAATAAAAAATAAAGTCAATAAAATATTGTAACTTCTCAAGCTTGCAATTCAAAACCAAATAGTATTTACCAACGGAATAGTTAAAACTAACTAAAACATTGTTTCATAGAAATCTCTCAAAACTCTAAACAAAAAATAAAGCAACTTTATTCCTCTAAGGCAGGGTCCACATCTTGATTCTCCAATGGCTCATAAACAACTTGCTCATCCACATCAACATCCTCTTCTATGTCAAAATCTGTAAGTGTATGGTTGTAGGTGGTGAGCAAAAGCCCGTAGAAAATTCTTCTCAAATTCAAATAAGGTTTCAAAATAATAAAAAAAATATGTCATTTTTGGAAACTAGCATATATAATTTGTATTTGGCCTTGTCTATTTCATACAAATTTTATTAATCAATCTCTAATAAAGTAAAAATTGATTTGAAAATTAGGGCAGACTTTTACCCACGCCCAGATGAATTTTTTTTCTTTTTTAAACTATAAATATCATAGGGCTGCAATCTAAAGTGTCTTTACCTATTTTTTCAACCTCAATAAGCGTAGGAAAGTTTGAGAAGAAGAAAAGGAGTAATAACGGACTAAATCTTGAAAGATTAACACAGGGTAATTGCAAGAAAACACGTTGCGATCAATATCTCAAAAGTCAAGGAAGGAAATTCTTCTTGAGCTATTTAATTGAGATTTATGGTATT